CTACGGGAGACGGGTATTCTCCGGAGAACCGTAAGGAGTGGCTGAAAATCTGGAAAAATCAGGAAGATTGTACGTGAGATGGGCATCACTGGTGGGAGGGGAGGAGGAAGTTGTTGCACTGAGGCCGTTCACACACCCCTCGAGGGACCCTGGTGCTGTATCCCGTTCCACGGCCCACACACGGCTCTACAACTTCGGTCATTCAACTATCGGAAGGGTAACTATTCAACGCTGCTGAACAGTGGCTTTTTGAGAGAGAGGGGCGCGGGGTGGGTTAAGTTAAGCACATCAACCCTTTGTGTAATGCTTCGGCTCCTATAGCAAGCCACAGTAGACTTGGTGGCGCAGTTCGCCGACGGGGGGGGCATTTTGCCTTCGCTGCTTCCCCTCGTCGTATCAATCATCAAGAACAGATTTGAAAGTTTCGTGGAACCACTAAGGGGTACTAATCAAATTTCGAGAACATCTGTCAACTTCTGTAATGCAATGAACACGTCGATGGGAAGTAGCGGAAGGGCAAAATGCCCCTCCCTCCGTGATCGAACGGTGTCACTTCACTAATTCGGAACGGTGCCGACTTCCGAATTCGTTTCGCAGTGTTCTTCATAGCCGGCATCTGCATTTATTTTTACGATACATCAAAAATTGTATTATTTTCAGAAATGAACGTATTTACCATTCTCTTGCTGTTTGTTTCCGTGACATGTGTCTCAGCTCAATTTTTTGGTAAGCGTTAATTTTCTCGAGGGTAGTTCGCGGTAGGGCTCGCAATTGTGCATCCTTTATTAACAGAAATGACCGGTCACCATATCCCGAAGATGGGGAAGGCGTGGCTCGCCTTTCATCTGGTAAAGTTGATAATGCCACAATTAGATGGGAAGGTGTCAAGAGAGGTGGGGCGATCCTTTGGCTCCCTAACTCCATCACTGGCGATCGGTTAGGGTTCGATTCAGAGAGAAACAACGGTGGAAACGCTGCGGGTGAGACTTCCTCTTGAAACTGCTCTGACTGACACATTTCAAAAATGGTCCCCATCAAGGAAAAAAATACATAATACGTGAAAATAAAGGTTCCGCCGTCGGCCGAAGTACTAGTCAGCGTTCTCATTCTGTCAGACGTATCTGGCACCAATACACCGTCCACATGAGGATAGAGGGCTTGGCTGACCTGGGCGGTAGTCGGTCCGGGATGTCATTACCGCACAGCGCGCGTGGTAAGCGTGCCACATGCCAATTTATCACATCCGTTTTCGGAGGAAAAAGATACTGGCTAGTACATCAGCTGACCCGCACAAACAATTTACCGCCTCTGTAGTAAAGAAGGCATGGTTGGCCTGGGTGAAAGCCGAAGGACATAACCCCGGACCGTCAACTATTGCCGCTAAACGCTTCGTCTCACAGTCTCATGGAGGGATGAAATCTCTTCCTGCTTAGTTATTCTGACAGTAGCACAAGGGTGAAAGCGGCATTCCGGCGGGGGGGGGCATTTCGCACTTGTGCTA